TTAATAAAAATTGTGTTCATAGTTATACAGGGATGCATGCTTCATTGGAGAAAGAATAAACCAGTCAAATATTTACTTTTTTCTTCATTATCTAATGGGTGGTCTCGTGTCCTATTGATTTCAAAGATCAAAATGCTACAGACAAAAAAAATTAATATTTTTCTCATAAACTCTTCAGGAGTGCTCATCACAGAAGTATTTGTTTGTTATGCTCAGACAAATGCATTGCACCATACAACTTCTCAGAAGATTACTTGTTTCTATGAGCATTTACAAGGTTTTTTGACCTACTAATTGTATTCCCAAATGGAGATGACAAAGATTAATTTGGTAAAGTAATTTTAAAATTTCTGCTCGTGCTTTGTATATTCAAAACAGAATACAAATATCTTGGAAATTAACCTACAGATACAGTTAAGCAGCATTATTCCTTTTTACAGGGCAAATATGCCCCATTCTACTTGAACTAACAAAGCACTTTTGACAAGACACTTAGAATCAAAAGCAACCTAATCTTCCTCTCCTTTTCTTCAAAACTAAGCATCATTACCCTCTTCTGTTGCCATTACAGCAACAGAAATTACCTCATTCCTGTGAGCTGCACAAATTCCAGAGCAGCTGCTGTGCATCAGCAAAGCACTGACCAGGAATAATTTTCATTGCCAAGTGGCTGGTGATAAACAGAATTCTGTGCAGAATCATCTAAAATTGTAATTGATTGAAATCTATTGGTCCAGAGATCTCATTTTAGATGAATATATTTAAAACAAAACAGAATATAAAACCTTTGCAGCTATATAAAAGCTGAAGCAAATTAGTACAGAAAAGCCCTATGGTTGTTTGCAAAAATTCGTAGTGTGCTGTGGTTATGGAAACACCTCTCGGAGTTACAAGCTAAGCCTTTAGCTGGAATAAGTAACTTCCTGTCTCCAGTAACAACAACATAAATTAGGCTTATCCATTCATGGCTAATATTCTGAAACTACCAACAGGATAGCAATTCATTCAAATAATTTTACAGTGTGAATGTCAGCAGAGACCACCATTGCAGTACTCATATATGAATAAAATGTTTTTCACATATCAACCTGGGCTGCCAATGGACAGTAAACTGGTTTAAAAAATCCACATTATGTGACAATTTGTTTTTTCTTCCTGCTTCCCCCACGAATTATCACCAGTACTGTAAGAAACACTAGGAAAACTGTTCATTCTGAACCACCTAAACAGGTACATACAACAAAACAGTTTTGTTTGTTAAGTCCATAGCTGCCTTAGGCTGGACATTTTCAAACAAAGGAGATGAGAGTGCATCATTTCTCTATTGCCAATTTTGCTGATTTCTTATAGTCTCAAAATACATATAGATGGCTAGGAAAACTTTGATGTAATTCTGTACAACAGCAGACTGTCTTTTTACTGACACAACTACAATCACAGAAAAGTTCTGGATGAAATAGGCAGCTGAAATCTGAAAGTCCTGTACAGTCAGTACAGGAGTCAGTACAGAGAATCCACCTTTTCTTTGAACCACTTTTACCTCTTCAGTTTCCATTATATAAGCATGCTATGTTGAAAGCAGAGTCATAATGTTCTTTTAAACTACTGCTTTGAAATAATTTTAGACACATTTAAACTATTGCAATTTAGTTGCTGGCCACTTGATTTCAGTTCAGCCAGTGAGAAAGAATGCGATTCAATGACCCTGAGTTCACTGAGATTACTGGAAAACCAAAACAAGGGTTTGGAAGTCCACTGCTTTAACACATAAAGAAATACATTAAATACTTCAAAAGATATAAAATTCTTAGAACTGTTGGACAGACTTCTGTGTGTGAACTTTCCTGTCCAAGCAACATTGCTAAATACCGTGACTCCAATCAGAAGATTGACATTATGTTGTTGTGTAATTCATAGCCTCATAACTCAGTGTCACTTTTAAAAATACTTTATATGTGCATTCAACAGCTTAAAATTTCAGCTGTCAGATATTAAATAACGGACAGATCAGGAGGTTTATTTTGAAATATGAGTTCTTTATATTTTTTAGAAGGGAGAAAGAATGTAAAGGTTGTTTAGCCAGTGTTAACACTAGAAGCCTAGAGTCAAACAATAATCAGGAATCACCAACTGGAAGGAAAGCTAATCTCATTTTGATGGACAAGAGTAAACTTGAATTTTTACAACACAACTGGGACAAAATGCACCTAAATGCACATAGTAACAAACACCATTGAGATCCTACAGAGCTCAGTAAATGTTATGAGTAAATAGCCAAATTAACACCACATAGGTCAGGCCCAACAACAACAAGCAATGGAGAACAGATGCTCAGAATGTAATCTTCATCTCCTTTTTTTCAAAAGTAAGAACCTTTCCAAAGCATCATCTTCTGCCATTGCACAAATCACTTCATTCCTGAGAGCTGCACAAAGTCCAAAGCTGCTGCTGTGCATCAGAAAAGCACTGACCAGAAACAGCTTTCATTGCCAAGTGCCTGGTAATAAGCAGAATTCAGTGCTGCCAGGTATTTGTAAAGGAAGTGAAGTTCTTTGCTTCAAATGACATACGGCAGGGGCTATCTGCTGTTACCCATAACCCAACCTTCTAGAGTATCAGTATAGCACTTCAGAGGCACTGTGCTGGTCTGATAGAATCTGTGAGATCACAGACATCTCTGAAGATGTTATGCAGCCATTGATGATGCACTGAGGAGACCACTAACAATGTCTTTCTCTGTTATACACAAAAATACAAAATAACATAAAATAAAGGCTTACTAAACCCATTATGCTGCATATTATTCAGTGTGATTTGAGGTTCTCCTTTCACAAGGTAAGGAATGATGTGCCCCTTAGAAAACCATCATCTGGAATAGACTGAATTATAGATTCTTTGGTATGAACAAAAGCAACTGTGTATCTACGGTAGCAAATAAAGTAATAAATACCATCATGTCTTTCAACACTTAGCAATAACTACTATTTAAAGAGCTTAAGATTTCTGGGCATATCTTATTTTCAGTATCAAACCCATATTCACTTGATTTCTTTGTATGCTACCTAAGATGATCTTGTTGCTATCCAGTTTCTCGTATGTACAGTGAATTTATTTATCATTTTTGCACCCATAAAAAGAAGCAGTGAGATGTTTAAATGTATGGGTCCAGTAGTACACAATTATGGTTAACACCTTTTTTCTTAGTAATCCATGAATGGAATTCTGAACACTAGAAGTAGGTGTAAACTCTTACCTTTTATATTTTAAAGAACAGATCAAACACCCATTAAACAGACAGCAGCTGGAAGGGCTATGGCTATTTCTAGATCTATCTTAAATAACCTTGACCAAATCATTTTATCTGTATTTGTCTTACTCACCATGTGTGAAAATGAGGCAATGATGTTTATTCACCTTTTAAACGTTTTTAAAACCCACTGATTAAGGTCACCATTCAGATCCATCCAAACACTATTTTTTAGAAGCTTACCCGTATGTAAACTCAACTATTGGAAAAGTTAAAATTTTAAGCAAAATTACACATTGCAGTAAAGGTAATAAATTGCAAGTGACAGTTTCTCAGACTTAAAAGAACAGTTCAGTAAATACAGAAAAAATGCATTTTTTTTCATAGGGATAAAAATTGGCTACTGCTGGAAGTTAATATTACTGCAAGGAATCCCTGAAACCTTTTTTAAGCAACACTTGAACAGTTATATAAAACTTAACAGCAAGTAGATCACCCAAGCAGGCCCCACAACCTACTGCAAGTATATGGCACAGGGTTCAGAGGTTACATGAGACCAGCTTTCCTAGCCAAACAAGTAAAACCATAACACTTCCAGGCACTGAAACACTTTTCCTTGGACTTCAGCAGAAGCAGATGTGGGGCTGACTACATACTGAACAAAAAGCATAGATAGAAGAAAATGTCAGGAAAAAACATAAGCTCAGTTTGCAATTTATCCGTAATCATCCTTTCACATGAACACTGGCTTTCTAGTACTACCCTCTTCATCTGAAGATCAGTGCAAATCTTCAAATAATTGGGAGCTTACTTCTTCATGTGTGCTTGAGATTGCTCTGCTAAGCAAACTGATGCAATATTTCAATTTTCATTTTACTTTGGGGTGTAAGTTCTGAGTCATCATCGTTTATTTTTCTCCAAGCGTTCAGCTTGTGTTTTCTGTTTTTCTTCCTGGATGTGTCATAACAACTGAATTGTACCACCCCAGTAAAATGGTAAAGCCCAGCAGACATCTGCCAGTGACAAAATACTGTGCTCTCACTCTAATTCCCCACACATTCCACTCTTCACACAACTTTTCTCGCATCCTCTCAGTAATGTGGTAGAGCCTAGTAAGCAATTTCTTTTCATTCTCCACAACGTTCTGCCAACACTAACACAGAGATGAAGCAATAAATCAAGAGTTGCCTCAGAGAAGAACCTACTAGCCTTGCATGTTCTTTTTCTAGCCCAGTTTTTGTCAATATTCCCAACAGGTTAACCTCCCTGAAGTCAGTGACTTCCCTGTAGGTAGGCTATCTGTTAGTTTTGGGTCAACACTGTGTTAATTAACTTTGGAGGTATTTTTTTTTTTTCAGAATTGCAAAGTAATTTTGATTTGGGAAAATCGTTTGAGAGACGTTTTACTCTTTTCAATTTAACAGAAACTGTTCAAAAGTTTCCGACATTTGTGAACACAAGATTGAAGGGAAAATAAATCCCTTATTCTGAGTTTTGAAATCTCCATTTTTCATTTATAAGAGTTGCTACTGTGGTACATTTGTTTTAAAAATAAATACAATCAACACATATCAGAATTGCATGCAGGAGAAATGGAGGTGAGAATGAGTAGTTACAGGAAAGCATTAAAAGCAAGGCAGGAAAAGTCTCATCTCAAAAGAGGTAAACATGATGGATCAGATGAAAACGTAAGTTAAAATAGAGGGGACTTTAAAAGTTACTATTAAAGTTCTGTATTTGGCAGCTACCTTACCTGAACTAGGACTTTGATTCCTTTGAGGGTGAATCATGTTTGAACCAGGTTTCAAGGACAGTTCTCCTCTCACAAACGCACAGCACTTGCAATTGCATCCAATTTTTCTTACGAGATCAGGGTTGGACAACGATTACACCGTGTGTTAGCAATTGCATGTGGGTGGATAGCTATATAAGAATCAGTCCTGCAGCCCTGGTTGGTGCAGACTGTGAAGCAGGCTGCAAAGGATCTCTTCAGAAGTACTCACACCAGTCTACCTAACCACAAAGTAGCCACATCTTGCTTAACTTACATGACAGCAAAGACCAAGAGCAAATGTTAAGAGAAACCTTCCCTCAACAACCAGGTGGGGAAAAGCCAGTACTGGAAGTTACAGCAGCAGTAAAAAAATGGCAGCAGACATTCTAAGAAACAGAAGAGTTTCCAGATAACGACTTCTTAAGATTATCACGTGGCAGGTATAAAAGCAAAAACTGTGGCAGACTAACTCTTTGGAAAATTGATCTGATAGATACTTACACCAGATTGATAACTATTTACACCTATATTTATTGATACAGTTCAGAACTTTGGAAGCCTGAAATTTTCACTTCATGGAAACAGAAGAGTTGCACAGTAAGGCAGCCATATAGTTAAGAGAAGAAGGTGTTAATTTTTCATAGGGGCATTCTTCTACTCTTATTGTCAGAAATTATTCAGTTATTTTGTCTGCACCTTTGTTTCTCCCATCCTTTAAAAGAAGAAAAACAAAAACCTATTGGAGACCTACAATGCAAAACACCTGGAACTCTATCATTTAGATTTGGTTAAATTATAACAAATTTAAGGCAGAGATTAATATTAGAAAGTGTCAGGCAATCTAAAGTTTAGGTGTTGCTGCCTGCACCAGCTATTAGTGTCACTGTCAATATTATGTGCCAAACAGTCTTAATTTATGTGCGTGACTAACAGACTTTTCATTTTGCTGCTCAGTTGTTTATAGTGTTGCAGGATATTTAGTTTGCTTTTGTAAAAGTATTTAATTTTCAAACACTTACATATGCTGCGTGCAATAAGGCAGTATGAATTGTTCTTTAGGGATTGGGCTGCCCCTCACTGATTCAAGCTTGAGCTTTACCAGATGCCATATCCAGAAGAGCTAATCCTCATTTTTTCTACTTCTACATTCACTAAGTATGATTTTTACATAATTGTACCAGAGCACTGAGACAATAATGAACGAATGGTCCATGTAGAACTCTGGAAATATTTCAGCAATGTTTGTGAGGCAGTGAATCAAAATGTGTCTGAGCAAGATATGGGACATGGTGCAACAATGCTTAGATTCTTTGGAACATAAGGAAAGAGCAAGTATTCTATCAGAGATATTTTATCATTCATTTTTTCATTCATTCAGCCAGTATGGTGTCTAATGTGAAAATTTACAATGTGAAATAATAAATTAAGAACATCTGTTCTATTAGGAAACAAATGTATTACTCAATAATTACTACCAGTTTCAACACTGAAATGTTAACAGTATGTACGATTTTTTAAAGACTTCACTTCTTAATAGTTTTACACGGTGCTGGTCTGAAACACTGTAGGTACTTGCCAGATGTGGTACAATGGTAAAGTAACGCTATTAACAGAGAGTGTGTTTATCCTTAAATCACCCCTCTCCTGTTCTCTCAACCAAGGAGAAATGATTTCTGAATTTCCTAATGATCTCGCAAGATAAACATTGAAAGTTATTAGATCTAGAAATAATTATATTAAAAAGAGCATTATATTTTTTAATTCTAGTGCTAAGAACATAAATCTTTCCTAAGTCCTACTTATCAGTACAATGACGTCACCCTGGAGTAGGGAATAGGATAATCTTCCTTGTTGCTGCATTACTGAAGAATGGCAAGGAGCTCTGATAAATGTCCCACTCACTGTATGTTTCCTTACACCCAGTCCTCGCTTTTACACTGGACAGAACAAACTGTAGATTTTAAAAGCCATATATTGTTTTCAGTATTTCTTCTATCTTCTCTCTCTGCAGTACTGCAACATGTTCCAAGCATTTTTCAGCGCTTCCACTCTGCTCTTCGCCTTCACTCCACCAGCTGTCACTCCAGTGACATTTCCAAAGCATGAAGCTAACAAAGAGCAGGGTAGAGCTTAACTGCTTAAGCTGTGGAGATCAGTAGCGGTATTTTAAAATATCAACAGAACTCTGTGTATTGGGAGCAATTTCTGATATCATTACTTGAATAGACAGCAGTGTTTATTTACCACACAAGCAGTTGCACAGAACGTATTTCGGTTGCTTTAGAAACTCTTAAAAGTTTACTGAACTATAATACACAGGCATTTGATGACTCTCTACCATAATGTTTAATTTAAATTAGAAATTAGGAAAGCCTAGCCTGATTAATACTAAGAAATTTCTGCACAGACAATTATGAAGCTATTAATAATGTGGAAAGGAAGCCGAAGTGCAGAGTATAGGAGAGATACTAGAGAAGTGTTACTTCCTGATTTGCACTTATTCTCTCTAATTGTCAAATTGCAGGATCTATATTTACAGGTCATGACCTGAAATTTGACTCTAAAATGGAGTTATCACATGGGGGTGCCATCCTATAACAATTAAGCTTTCTTTTCACTTCTTGTTTTTTAACTGAGCCTCTGCAGTCCAAGATCCAAATACTGACAGGAAACCTATTGCAATGTGCAGGGAGTGCAGTGTTTCCTTCAGTCTGTAAAATACGAGTCCTACTACTGTGTCAGAGCACACAGAAGCAATGATTAGGTGTGGGTGCTGGCCACCAAAGTGCTCAGGTCTCCCTAGAGTAACAGGCTCACAATACTGCGTATACTGTTACCAGCAACCAGCACTCCTGCAAGGTGCCTTGGCTGGAAGGAGCAATGAGTGTGATAGATCCTGGCTATCAACACCGAAGTAGTAAAGGGATTGTTTCAGTTTTTCAGTAGATCTTCGCATCGGGAAGAATTTCTAAAATGCATTTAAAAGACAGAAAGCCTCTGTATTAGGGCAAATTTTAGCTCTTCCATGTTGATAACACAAGTCTTCTGGAGGTCTGATCAGTTTGCTCTATAGTAGAAGTAATATTCTGGATATTTCAGTGCCCAGATCTATCAGCTAGAGACACTTAAAGGGAGCTTATGAGCAGGAAGGAAATCAACTTTTTACAAAGGTAGGTACAGATAGGACAAGGGGGAAAAATTTTAAACTAAAACAGAGAAAAGTTGGATTAGATGTCAGGAAGTATTTAACTCAGAAGGCAGTGATGTGGTACAAGCTGCCCAGACAAGATGTGGGTGCCCCATCCTTGGAGGCACTCAAGGCCAGGTTGGATGGGGCCCTGGGCAGCCTGAGCTGCTGGGTGGCAGCTCTGCCCACAGCAGGAGGTTGGAAATGGGTGGCCTTTAAGATCCCTTCCAACTCAAGGCATTCTGTGATTTTATGATACCTCTTCATTACAACAATTACTTCTCTCTATCTTTTATTAAATAGAAATAATTTCTATAGATGTCACCACAGAGGGCAATTCATATAATCATAGAAGCATGGAATGGCCTGGGTTGAAAAGGACCACAATGATCATCTAGTTCCAACAACCCTGCTATTGTCAACCACCAGACCAGGCTGCTCAGACTCACATCCAGCCTGGCCTTGAATGCCTCCAGGGATGGGGCATCCACAACCTCCTTGGGCAACCTGCTCCAGTGTGTCACCACCCTCTGAGTGAAAAACTTCCTCCTAATACCTAATATCTAACCTAAACCTCCCCTGTCTCAGTTTAAAACCATTCCCCCTTGTCCTATCACTATCCACCCTAGTAAACAGCCATTCCCCCTCCTGTTTATATGCTCCCTTCAAGGATTGAAAGGCCACAGAGGGGTCTTCCTGGAGCCTTCTCTTCTCTAAGCTAAACAAACCCAGTTCCCTCAAGCTTTCTTCATAGGAGAGGTGCTCCAGCTGGTACCTGGGGTATTTTCTGCAGATGTTGCATAGCTGCTAGTCATGCACACAGAGAAAGAAAGAGAAGCAAATAGTCTCAAACGAGTCAATACTATGCAGCTACTTCCCTCGTCTTTGGTTTGTGATTTGCATCATCAAGATTAAGAAAAAAGCAGCAAAGATGATGTTTATGTTGATTGTTTTCCATCATCTCTAATTCTAAATGAGATATATGTTAAATGTATCTGGTCCACAAAATATTGCTCTTAAGTTCTATAGAGAAAACTTTATGCAGTAGTCTATTTTTGTGGTTTTAATCTTTAGAGTGATTACAGTTGACTGAATAACAGTTTTCTGATACTAGATGGAAAGTAAAAACAATTATAAAGTTTAAATTGATAACAACTTATTTAATGACATGCTGTCTAACTGCTAGAGGCATAAACAAAGGATACCTAGAATGCCTGAATGAATTTAGGAAATTCATTAGAAAAGTTATTAAGTGACATTACAAAGAAGACAAGAAGTATTGTATGAGAAGCATATGCAAATGACAGATGAGGATAGATTGCAAATAATTAAGCAAAATCACAAGAGATGTAGTTTAGACAGTAATTTAGAAACTGAGAAGAGAAAACAGACTCATTTTAGGCAAGCTGATTTAATTTCACTTCCTATTATGACTGCATTCTGGATGCTAACCTGAAACTTTTCTGAATTTCACAAAGGAGGAGATTGAGGTCTGCAGAATTAGTGTCATCTTGGCTAAGGCCCTTCAGCTGGAAACCTCACAGGATCAGCCACACTCACTAAACTTGCTGAACTTCTCCAGCCAGGCTGCACAGCCTCCTTGGTTTATTTCGGCACCTCCTTTTTTGGCTAGCAAAAAGCAGTTCAGAGGAATGCAAAATGAAAAACAAGGGGAAAAAATTAATCCAACTTTCCCAAACCACAGAAAACTTTCATTTGGTATACGTTTTGACCAAAGTTTCAGTGAGAGCAACGGTCAGATTTTATCCAAAAATTACTCTGAATGGAAGGAACTCTGAGCAGTTTTGATGCACAACGACTGAGAGAGAAGCACTATGCTGACAGAATCTGTATCCACACTCTTGAGTGTATAAATGCTAAAAGTGCAGATGATTGCATGTATAATCACAAAATTGA